ATTCTCCTCGCTTCGTCGGATAAAAAAGAATTAGGCGCAAGATGTTCCATGTTAACCGCCCTTTGTCCCCCAATTCACCGTGAAAATGGCGTTTCTTCCAAAAAATCTCCAGGGTGAATGGAAATTCCGGAAGGGGACTTGCCCTTTATGAGAACCAAAACCATGACTTTTACAAAGATGCGTCCTTGCTGAAATAGAAGGCTTGGGATTCCCCGGTTCTTCTCCCAAATTTTGCACCTCCATTTTTGGGCACAAAACTGTGGTTCAAGGGGGGGTCTGCTTTTCTGAGACCCAGAAAAGCAATTTTTGAGTAGGAGCCTCCTATTGAAATTGATCCGTTTTGACTGGATGAGTTTTTCTTGGAAAATTGGGCACCGTAGTTGATCGCAAAAACTGTCTCCACTTTGTCGTTGTGCAAGATGTTCCATGTTAAGCGTTTTCAGCTTCAACCTCCCTGGGATCAAACTGTTTTCAAAAAAGGCACATGTTGGAACATTTAAGGAGGGAACGGCCTTCCTTGGTTCAGATCTAGGCCTAAAAGAGTGTTGCAAATGAATCTTGGCCCTTTCAAAACTGAGCGGCAAGTGCTGGGTCCCTGAAGTCTTGATTTCTGCATGGTATCCACTTTGTCAATCAAAAACGACATGTGCGCATGATGTTCCATCTTAACCACTTCTCTGGGCTGAACCCCGCAATCATCATTCTTCACACAGGGTTGCTGCAGTTGGGCTCATTTTGCTTGATTTAGGCCTAGAAGCGTTGGAAAGCAACAATTTTACTGAAAAAAGATCTGTCGGGAAGTTTGGTTCCTTAAGTTTTGGGTTTCCAAATTCTCCTCGCCTCGTCGGATAAAAAAGAATTAGGCGCAAGATGTTCCATGTTAACCGCCCCTTTTCTCCCAATTCACCGTGAAAATGGCGTTTCTTCCAAAAAATCTCCAGGGTGAATGGAAATTCCGGAAGGGGGCTTGCCCTTTATGAGAACCAAAACCATAACTTTTACAAAGATGCGTCCTTGCTGAAATAGAAGGCTTGGGTTTCCCCTGTTCTTCTCCCAAATTGTGGCACCTCCATTTTTTTTCACAAAACTGTGGTTCAAAAGGGGGTCCCCTTTTCTGAGACCCAGAAAAGCAATTTTTGAGTAGGAGCCTCCTATTGAAATTGATCCGTTTTGACTGGATGAGTTTTTCTCGGAAAATTGGGCACCGTAGTTGATCGCAAAAACTGTCTCCACTTTGTCGTTGTACAAAATGTTCCATGTTAAGCGTTTTCAGCTTCAATTTGGCCTTCGGCCTTCCTTGGTTCAGATCTAGGCCTAAAAGAGTGTTGCAAATGAATCTTGGCCCTTTCAAAACTGAACGGCAAGTGCTGGGTCCCTGAAGTCTTGATTTCTGCATGGTATCCACTTTGTGAATGAAAACAAAACGTGCGCATGATGTTCCATGTTAACCACTTTACACGGGGTTGCTGCAGTTGGGCTTATTTGGCTTGATTTGGACCTAGAAGTATTGGAAAGCAACAATTTTACCGAAAAAAGATCTGTCGGGAAGTTAGGTTCCTTAAGTTTTGGGTTTCGAATTCTCCTCGCTTCGTCGGATAAAAAAGAATTAGGCGTAAGATGTTCCATGTTAACCGCCCTTTGTCCCCCAATTCACCGTGAAATCGGCGTTCCTGCCAAAAAACTAGACGACGGATGGCCCGAGAGCGTGGAGGAGCAGGGTCTTCTCTTGTTAGTATGGAGGCACCATATTACAAAACACAATATTAAAAGATGTGTTATACGCAGTCGAAAAGAGGAGTATCAAGACAATATAGCACAAGTACAAGACAGTAGTTTGCATCGTATCTTTTGTATAGCTTTTCACACACAGAACTTTTTACAGAGAGACGCTTTTACACACAGATGCTTTTAGACACAGACGCTTTTACATACGGAAGCTTTTGCGCACAGACATTCTTACACACGGAAGCTTTTACACACAGACGCTTTTACACACATAGGCTTTTACACACAGACTCCTTTACACACAGACGCTTTACACTCTGACGCTTTACACGCAGACACTTTTACACGCAAACACTTTTACATACAGACGCTTTTACACACAGAAGCTTTTACACAGACGCTTTTACACACAAAAGCTTTTACACACAGAAGCTTTTACACACAGAAGCTTTTACACACAGACGCTTTTACACACAGACGCTTTTACACACAGGCACTTTTACACATAGACACTTTTACACACAGGCGCTTTTTCACACAGACAGTTTTACACACAGATGCTTTTACACACAGAAGCTTTTACACAGACGCTTTTACACACAAAAGCTTTTACACACAGAAGCTTTTACACACAGACGCTTTTACACACAGACGCTTTTACACACAGACGCTTTTACACACAGACGCTTTTACACACAGACGCTTTTACACACAGAGGCTTTTACACACAAACACTTTCACACACACAGACGATTTCACACACAAAAGCTTTTACACACTTTTTGACGATCGAACCTCATTTCGTGCAAAAGGGTTTGCGCCGGACAAGTTGAAATCGGAAATTTACCTTAGTTTTTGGCGATCGAACCTCATTTCGTGCGAAAGGGTGCGTGGGACACCTCGAATCGCAATTTTACTTCAGTTTTTGACGATCGAACCTCATTTCGTACGAAAGGGGACGACTTGAACTCGCACTTTTACTTCAGTTTTTATGACGATCGAACCTCGTTTCGTGCGTAAGGGTTGCGCCGAACAAGTTGAAATCGCAATTTTACCGCAGTTTTTGGCGATCGAACCTCGTTTCGTGCGTAAGGGTTTGCGCCGGACACCTTCAAATCGCAATTTTACCTCAGTTTTTGGCGATCGAACCTCGTTTCGTGCGTAAGGGTTGCGCGGGACACCTTCAAATCGCAATTTTACGTCAGTTTTTGGCGATCGAACCTCGTTTCGTGCGTATAACGGTTGCGCGGGACACCTTCAAATCGCAATTTTACGTCAGTTTTTGGCGATCGAACCTCATTTCGTGCGAAAGGGTTGCGTTTCGTGCCGTCTCGTTGGCACTGCCCCTGCCCCCGCCTTCAGAAGAGAAATAGAAAAGAAGGAGAGGGCAAGAGGGGCAAGAGGGGCAAGAGGGCAAGAGGGCAAGAGGGCAAGAGGGCAAGAGGGCAAGAGGAGAAGATGTGGAGATGTGAGGATGTGAAGATGTGATGAAGATGTGAAGATGTGAGGATGAGAAGATGTGAAGAAGAGGGCAAGAGGGCAAGAGGCCAAGAGGGCAAGAGGAGAAGATGTGAAGATGTGAGGATGTGAAGATGTAAAGATGTGAGGATGGAAGATGTGAAGATGAGCAGATATGAAGATGAGAAGATGTGAAGATGAGCAGATGTGAAGATGAACAGATGTGATGAGCAGATGTGAAGATGTGAAGATGAGCAGATGTGAAGATGAGCAGATGTGAAGATGAGAAGATGTGAAGATGAGAAGATGTGAAGATGAGAAGATGTGAAGATGAGAAGATGTGAAGATGAGAAGATGTGAAGTGAGAAGATGTGAAGATGAGAAGATGTGAAGTGAGAAGATGTGAAGATGTGAAGATGAGAGACAGACCCCCACTATTGGAAGAACCCTGCGCTCAGACGCTCTCGGGAAAAACCTCCAGGGTGAATGGAAATTCCGGAAGGGGGCTTGCCCTATATGCAAAAACCATGACTTTCACACAAGGGCGTCCTTGCTGAAATAGAAGGCTTGGGATTCCCCGGTTCTTCTCCCAAATTGTGGTTCCTCCATTTTTGGGCACAAAACTGTGGTTCAAAGGGCGGTCCCCTTTTCTGAGACCCAGAAAAGCAATTTTTGAGTAGGAGCCTCCTATTGAAATTGATCCGTTTTGACTGGATGAGTTTTTCTTGGAAAATTGGGCACAGTAGTTGATCGCAAAAACTGTCTCCACTTTGTCGTTGTACAACATGTTCCATGTTAAGCGTTTTCAGCTTCAATCTCCCTGGGATCAAACTGTTTTCAAAAAAGGCACATGTTGGAACATTTAAGGAGGGAACGGCCTTCCGTGGTTCAGATCTAGGCCTAAAAGAGTGTTGCAAATGAATCTTGGCCCTTTCAAAACTGAAGGGCAAGTGCTGGGTCCCTGAAGTCTTGATTTCTGCATGGTATCCACTTTGTCAATCAAAAACGACATGTGCGCATGATGTTCCATCTTAACCACTTCTCTGGGCTGAACCCCGCAATCATCATTCTTCACACAGGGTTGCTGCAGTTGGGCTCATTTTGCTTGATTTAGGCCTAGAAGCGTTGGAAAGCAACAATTTTACTGAACATGATATGTCGGGAAGTTTGGTTCCTTAAGTTTTGGGTTTCCAAATTCTCCTCGCTTCGTCGGATAAAAAAGAATTAGGCGCAAGATGTTCCATGTTAACTGCCCTTTGTCCCCCACAATTCACCGTGAAAATGGCGTTCCTTCCAAAATCTCTAGGGTGAATGGAAATTCCGAAAGGGGGCTTTTCGTTTATGAGAACCAAAACCATAACTTTTACAAAGATGCGTCCTTGCTGAAATAGAAGGCTTGGGTTTCCCCTGTTCTTCTCCCAAATTGTGGCACCTCCATTTTTTTTCACAAAACTGTGGTTCAAAAGGGGGTTCCCCTCAAGATGCACCTGAAACCACTTGAACACTCCCATGGACGTTTATCCCTGTCAATAGCACAGAGGGACCCCCGTCAATAGCACAGAAAAAAATCGAGCTGGAGATCGTGCATGTTTTTGGTCATTTTTGGGGCAATCCAGTTGACTTTCTCAACATGTGAACCTCAAATCTTAACATAGAAAAAAAGGACCCCATGTGGTAGACTTTTTCTTCCATGTTAAGATAAAACCCTTGACCGCAGGTGCCATGTTGAGAAAGGGCTTTTTCGTCTTTCGAGGTTTATGTTATTTTGCAAGGGTGTATATATATATATATATCTATCTATCTATCTATATATATATTTATTCATAAATATGATCTCCAACCCCTGGGATGACCATCCCAAGTGCCGCTTTGAGATTAGACTGCGCGATGCGGCTCTTCGAGGGTTTTACTGTCGCTCCCGTGCTAAAAGTCCATTGTTGCAGAAGCACTGCATTCTTAAGACGGAAAATATTTGGAAACATGTCTTGAATGTTGTTTTCGGAAGAACACCGACTCTTACATATCTTGCGTATACCATATACATACATATACCGTATATACCAGTTTAGAAAGATTCGCGTGTGCTGTGCCCTTCGGCCCTTCGCAGCACATCTTCTTGCGTCCACCTGCGGCTCTGGAAAGAGCTCATCGCAGATGTCTTCTGCCTCCAAAATGGTGGTGTTCAGTGTCACCCGGTCCTGACAGCAGTGGCACATCAGGATGGCACCATGGCACCTTGACCAATAAACCAATGAAGACCCTGACAGCACTTGCTCAGGTTGCACCAGCAAAATGCACAGTTGATATCAGTTGGCTCCAGTTGTGGCCAAGGGTCATTCTGGCAATACCCAGTCAAAAAGCAATAGCTGGCATCGAACTCTTCGGTGTGAAATTGCTGACTGAATTGCAGCATAGTCTGTGCATAGCCATGTAGGTCCTGTGATCCGACACCAAGGGAATGTCCCCAAGCATCTTAGAACTGAGTTTGTACCTGGAGCTCCAACTTTGGTTTTGGTCTGCAACATAAACGGCAGCTGTCTATATAAAAAGAGCCGTCATGGTGATGTGATTAGCCCTCGTCTTCATATGTCTTCATTGTTTCCAGCATGTACATCGTGAAGCAGTGGTGCCATTGCTGTCCTGCGTGGCACATTGCCGAGCTTGCTGGTAGAACACGGAGCCCGCATAGCACCAGGCCTGGTAGTTCACCCCACTAGGCTTAGCCAGCTGATGCAGCATCTCCTAATTCCACCGCGAAGAGCCGGAGGTCTCTCAAGTTGTGATGCAAAAAAAGGGATTCAAACTCCTGATGTGTATGTCGACAATCAATCAACAATAGATTGAAGAAGTCTCCCTGGCCATCTTGGATTCATGACTCGTTTTCAAAGAGTCTCCTCCCATGGTTCCAACTTCCCAGTGGAGTTCAGGCAGTCGAAGGGCTCTGCGCACATCCACGGCACTTCAGAGCACGATGCCTCAACAAAAAGCTACCAAAACACCCCAAGCACTTTGTGATCTCCATAGGCTCTAGACAAGCATGTATAGATGCAAAACTATATCAGTAACTCAACAATATAGCAACAAATGCATAAGCACGGTTCAGAACACACATAAACAACGGAACTGACTAACTGACAAACATGTCAGCAATAGACAGAAAACACAAAGACAAAAAAACACAATAGAGGATCAGGTTCGCAAACCATCAACGACAGTCATTCTCTCTTCTCCACTGTGCCCTCTGTGCCACTATGAATGCTAGAGTGTATTGTTTGCCTCATGAATCTATACATCAACTTTTAATTTTTTGGCTGTCTTCCAAAATTTTCCCACAAGTCTTGGGGGCAAGGGCACTCTGGATGCATTCTTCTAGGAAGGTATGCTTCTGTGTCTAGTATGAGCAGTCAGGGCTTGTGGCCTTGAAGATTCTGAATTGAAGATATTGAAGGCTCTGAGTTCTTGGAAATGTTTACCGATGCTTTCTTTGCCCAAAATTCCGTCTGCTAAGAGGAATGTGGTAAGGAGCTTGCAGGCGGCCCACGCACACTGTCGTACATTTTATAGAAAGCTGGATCTCGTGAATATGCGCACACACACACACATGCACATATCAACAAATTATAAAGGAGCTAGATAAACAAATAACGGATTTCCTAGGTAAGTAGGCAGAAAGGAGACTGAATATATGGTATAGCGCGTGCAAAAAAGAAAAATAGCTGAATCCAAATATAGTAATAGCAAGAAAGAAGTAATAGACAAAATCAAGTGGCCAAACATTCGGCCGAACAGTTCAAGTAAGTGACTAGACAATGTGCATAACCAAGAGCAAACAAAGGACTACCCTCTGGTAAACTAACATAACTATGGAAAATCACCATTTTCAATGGAAAATTCCACTATTAATGGCCATTTTCAATAGCTACGTTAAATTACTAGAGGGTAATGAGTAAACGTGTATGCGTTCATACACATGTACGCGTGTAATGTAATGTAACGCTATACCACAATTTTGGAAGGAAACCCTAACATGGATTTCCTTGGAGTCTCTTGGAACACGTGAATCTACAGAAAGGATCCTAAAATGAAGGTCAGGTTGCGATGCCACAACACATGCTTTGTGGAAAACAAATATGTAGTATTGTATTATATTGTATTCTTCTCGGTTCGCACATAGGTACATCACATGATTTCTATATTTCAATACATCAAGTTTAATTTCCGTCAAGCTTGTAATTTCGGCATAGCCAGGCCTCCCCCCAAGCTTCTTGTCTGAACAAACTACGTCGAAACGTGGATGTTGCGGACGCCTCCAAAGAGTCTCGAGGTCAGGGCTTCAAAACACGTCAAGATACATAATTTCTGAGGAATGATGCTCTTGCCAGAACAAATTTCAAAGTTTCATCCAAATGCAAAGCTTCATCGACACTCACCACCAGCGCTTCACACTCACCTGCATGTTGAAAGGCACAACTTCGTGGTGGTGCTGAAGGAGAGTTGTTCCCAGGCAGTCGACATCAGAAACGCCGTTGCACAGGCGCCATGAGAGAAACCTATGCGGCACGTGCAAGGAGTTGCAAAAACTTGGGTATGGCTCAAAATAACCTTTTTTGCTGTTACATGATGACTGGGTGGACATCCCCTGTCTTTGCGCCAGCCAAACACGGGCTGTCGAAACAGTGTGTTTCGAATTCATTTCATCCTTAGGTCATTCCGGTCATTCTATCAAAGTCTGACACCGTCGGTTTGGGACCAGCTTTTGGGACAACAGCGCCAAGCAGCACTGACAGCCACGGCAGTAGTGCCCGCGACATGTGATTGCACTAGAAAACTCGTCAAGAATGCATGAAAAATGCACACATCATACTAAGTGCACATTTCAAGATCAAATTTTGGAATGCAATAGGAGGCAATAGGTACGAGTACTTGCAGAGTGCTGTGAATTTCTTGAGCCATCAGGTGAGCATGGTGGCCGCTTAACATAAGTGACACTTAGGAGTCAGACCACCCCATAGATGAGGCCAATGGTGCGACCATACAACATTGGGGTCTACATTATTCGCACAAAACTAAAATCATGCTGATTCTGCGATGAACCAAAGATCAAGTTCCAACATCATTTCCATGCTGCGCACGCATGAACAAGTCAAGTTGACAAAATTTCGACACAGAGAAACATGTAAAAAACGATGTCTCCGCTCTGCGTCCCACAGCTTTCCTCATCAGTTTCTTCGGCTCTGGGGTGCTTCTTACGGCAGCACAAAGACCTCAGCAAACAGCACTGGAATCAAGAGAAGTCTAAGGTCAAGGTTGTCAACAAAGTTCACACGGCATTTTTCGACTGAGGCATGGACGCCAATATCATGCGGCAATATCCCATAGGTCCCGTCTTCCCTCAACATAAAAGGCTCCACAAGGTCCGCCACACGGTCGACAAGGTCCACGGGGTCCACGAGGTCTAGAGGTTAATAGAATACCGATCTCGAGCGATCTGTCAAGCATAATCGCTGACAAGCGCTGCGTGGCAAGGCAATCAAAGCAATCAAAGCAATCCTGCGTCTTGGGAATCTTGGCATTGAAAGCAACGCTGCATCGCAACCAACTAGTTCAACTCCTTGTCGCTTTGAAATACAATATGCTGCGAGACATGCGGAGACATGGCCATTGTGAAGCACGCGACACATCATGCCACCCGGCAGTGTTAATCGCAGCGAACATCATGACATTCCTGCACTTCAGGCCACCCAAGTTTCATGTGCTCCAAGCCGTTTGATACGCACAAAGGGAGTTCATCCCACTGGCCCAGAGCGGAGGACTTGAAAAAACAATGGCAAACCACCTGTACAAACTGGCTCACATGCTACTCAATTACAGAGTCACAGAGACCAGTGGTCCTCCAAGACCAGGCTCGTTAGACCTAGAGCGAGGTAACTGCATTTCACGGCCCGCCACGCGCGTCCCAGATCATCACAAAGTTCTTGTGCCCGTGTGAGGCTGGGTGCTGCAGATGGCTGCAGGGGTTGATGGATAGAGGCGACGTACATCGTACAGTAGCTCTCACCGCATGGCTTTCCATTCGAAGCACCTGCAAATCGCTGCTCCACTGTCAGATTTACATAGGTTTACCCTTGAAACTAACATAGTCCATTTTAGGGTGGTTGGGAAGATGACTTTTCTTTTCCATCATTTCCATGAAGAGGCTATGTTTGTTTCCAGCAGGGTACCGCCCAGAAACTGGACAGGGGGCTCAACGTGCATCTGCGAGCCAGGATGTTCGCACACCTGAACAATTCTGAACAATCTTACACACCACAAGCCTTCATCTTGACGTGCCAACTCTTCCTGTTCTGCCTGGCACAACAACGCTGCACGTATAAATTGGCTCGAGCATATCACATGTCAGACTCTCAGACTCTGTTTGATGCAGGGCTGAAAGTCTCAACCTAGACTCATGCAGTATCAAGCAGATGGATTAACTTCTTGGCAAGAGTGTGTTGCTTGCATTTGGAAGCTCATGCAAGGGCCATTCCCAATTATACCAGTACAGCAGGCCTACTCGGATTGGTCTATTTCTTGATGCTTCCAGTACCTCGGTTTGTGCTTAGCCTTATGAACACTTCTAGCATGATTTTAAGGCATCCACTGTTCTAATTCTTATCAAGATGCAAACCGCAACTTTCAAGCTTTCTAGGTCCTGGCTTGCGAAACAAATCGCACAACGCCTGCGAATCGCAAAGTTGGTCTCGAAGTTTAGGGACCGTTGATATCAATAATGGTCAGTGCAAAATGTTGCAGACGTCTTGGGGAAGGATCATTTGCTCGGGGAAAAGATGGGAAACTGCGAATCCTGCATGCATAATCGCTAGCACATGACGACGGAAAAAACACTTCAACATCTTCAACTGTAGCTCACTTATAGCTTCCAGCTGAACCACAAAGGATGACCAGAAAGGGATCTATATAAAGGGATTGCATCCAAAGGATCTTTGTAAATAGGAACCGCTTCGAAACAAGGGCATCAATATCTGTTCCCCGCGCACCCAGGCGTACCAACAATTTCTCAATCATTGTATGGCACAATGCACTGTCAGTCGTTGAATTAGTATGATTGATTCACAACGTTGCCTATATTTCCTAGGAGGTATCTGTGGTTTCATTCAATCCGTGGACTCTTTTCAAGTGGGCTGACCAGGCAGATCACACTGAATCGAAAACTCCGCCACAAGAGTGTCTAGAACTCTAGCACAATCTGATTGTAAACCTGCTCTGTATAGAGCAAACTGTGGAGAACCGTAAGATTTCTCTAGTAGAATGCCTGGGAACCAAACAACTATTTGTGGTTGTTTGCCTAAAAACAACTATTTTCTACTCAGGTGAAACAACCACTTTCAAATGGTTGGTTGGTTTTCCAGGGGGATCTCGATGAATCATGTGTTGACCATTGTCGTGAACCGGTCCTTCGCTACTTCCATGGTTTCCAAAAAGTCCTCATCCGCCTGGTCTGAAAAATGCAATCAAAATTGAACTTCAAAATGCACACCAAAATAATCCTTTGACATTTGCTGAATAAGGGCGGCTGAGAGCCCAACACAGCAATTGCATCAATTGTACTGTTTTTGAAACATAAACGTGATAAGACGACCTTCACCAGACAGATTGCAGTATATTTCCCAACATGCACTTTTGCACCAGCACATGATTTCACAACGGCCCGCTAGAAGGGTTTCCCCCAATGGTACGGAGGGATTTCCTAGAAAACGCGACGACTTCTACACTTGGGAGTACCTCATGCCATTAATAGGGTTTTCATAGGGTTTCTGCGACATCAAACGTAGTTTATCTTTTAGCCATCGTTGTGAGAGAATGTCAGAAAAGAAAGGGCATATGAAGGTGTGTAGAATAGTTTGTGTTTTTTTTTGCCTCAGGTTTTGGATTTTTTGTTTTGCTTTCTTTCCCGGTACCATTTGCCTTGTATTTGCAACAGTTTGGAACTAGAACCTGCCATTTTGCATGGTATTTGTCTTATTTTGGCATTTCAACATCTCATTTGCATGGTATTTGCTACATTTTGGTGCTTCAAACGTTCATGTGGGTCTCTTGAGGGTTCTTTAGGCTTTCATTTAGGGCTTCATTTAAGGTTTCATTAAGGGTTTCATTTAGGTTTTATTTAGGGCTTCATTTGGGGTTTCATTTAGGGTTTAATTAATGTTTAATTTAGGGTTTCTTTGGGGTTTCATTAAGGGTTTCATTTAGGGTTTCTTTACGGTTTCATTTAGGTTTTCTTTAGAATTTCATTTAGTTTTTTTTCCGGTTTCATGTAGGGTCTCTTACCAGGGTTTCTTTAGGGTTTCATTTCGGGTTTCTTTAGGGTTTCGTTTAGGGTTTCCTTTAGGGTTTCGTTTAGGGTTTCATTTCGGGTTTCATCTAGGGTTTCATTTAGGGTTTCATTTAGGGTTACGTTTCGGGTTTCATTTAGGGTTTCATTTAGGGTTTCTTTAGGGTTTCAGTTTGGGTTTCATTAGGGTTTCATTTGTATAGAGTTTCTTTAAGGCTTCTCTGGGGTTTCACTTAGGGTTTCTTCAGGGTTTCATTTAAGCTTTCTTTAGGGTTTCATTCCAGGGTTTCTTGTCAGGATTTCTTTTCGCGATTTCTTAATGTTCAAGTGGGTTCCTTTAGGGCTTCATTTGGGGTTCATTTAGGGTTCCTTTAGGGCTTCATTTGGGGTTCATTTGGGGTTTCTTTAGGGTTTCTTCAGGGTTTCATTCAGGGTTTCTTTAGGGTTTCATTTAGGGTTTCAATTTAGGGTTTCATTCAGGAGTTCATTTAAGCTTTCTTTAGGGCTTCATTCCAGGGTTTCTTATCAGGATTTCTTTTCACGATTTCTAAACGTTCAAGTGGGTTCCTTTAGGGTTCCTTTAGGGTTCCTTTAGGGTTTCATTTAGGGTGTCGTTTAGGGTTTCATTTAAGGTTTCTTTAGGGTTTCATGTAGGCTTTCAATTTAGGGTTTCATTTAGGGTTTCTTTAGGGTTTCTTCAGGGTTTCATTCAGGGTTTCTTTAGGGTTTCATTTAGGGTTTCAATTTAGGGTTTCTTTAGGGTGTCAATTTAGGGTTGCAGCTAAGGTGTCAGTTAAGGTTTCATTTAGTTTTTTTTTCAGAGTGTTGTTTAGGGTTTCTTTGGGATGTCATTAAGGGTGTCATTTAAAGCTTCTTTAGAGTTTCATTTACGGTTTCTTTAGGATTATGGTTATATAATTATAGTTTCTTTAGGGTTCATTTATGGTTTCAATTTAGGGTTTCATTCAGGAGTTCATTTAAGCTTTCTTTAGGGCTTCATTTCAGGGTTTCTTATCAGGATTTCTTTTCACGAATTCTACACGTTCAAGTGGGTTCCTTTAGGGTTTCATTGAAGTTTTTTTTAAGGTTTCTTTAGGGTTTCATTTCAGGTTTCTTTAGGGTTTCATGTACGCTTTCAATTTAGGGTTTCATTTAGGGTTTCTTTTCGCGATTTCTAAACGTTCAAGTCAAGTGGGTTCCTTTAGGGTTCCTTCAGGGTTTCGTTTAGGGTGTCATTTAGGGTCTCATTTAGGGTTTCATTAAGGGTTTTATTTAGGGGTTCATTTGGGGTGTCATTTAGGGTTTCTTTAGGGTTACGTTTAGGGTTTCATTTGGGGGTTCATTAAGGGTTTTATTTAGGGGTTCATTTGGGGTGTCATTTAGGGTTTCTTTAGGGTTACGTTTCGGGTTTCATTTAGGGTTTTAGTTTGGGTTTCATTTGGGGTCTCATTTAAGGTTTCTTTAGGGTTCCAATTTAGGGTTTCATTTAAGGTTTCTTTAGGGTTTCAATTTAGGGTTTCATTTAAGGTTTCTTTAGGGTTTCAATTCAGGGTTTCATTCAGGAGTTCATTTAAGCTTTCTTTAGGGTTTCATTCCAGGGTTTCTTGTCAGGATTTCTTTTCGCGATTTCTTAATGTTCAAGTGGGTTCCTTTAGGGCTTCATTTGGGGTGTCATTTAGGGTTTCTTTAGGGTTTCTTCAGGGTTTCATTCAGGGTTTCTTTAGGGTTTCATTTAGGGTTTCAATTTAGGGTTTCATTCAGGAGTTCATTTAAGCTTTCTTTAGGGCTTCATTCCAGAGTTTCTTATCAGGATTTCTTTTCACGATTTCTACACATTCAAGTGGGTTCCTTTAGGGTTTCATTTAGGGTTTCTTTAAGGTTTCTTTAGGGTTTCATTTAAGGTTTCTTTAGGGTTTCATGTAGGCTTTCAATTTAGGGTTTCATTTAGGGTTTCTTATCAGGGTTTCTTTTCGCGATTTCTAAACGTTCAAGTCAAGTAGGTTCCTTTAGGGTTCCTTCAGGGTTCCTTTAGGGTTTCGTTCAGGGTGTCATTTAGGGTTTCATTTAGGGTTTCATTAAGGGTTTTATTTAGGGGTTCATTTGGGGTGTCATTTAGGGTTTCTTTAGGGTTTCATTTGGGGTCTCATTTAAGGCGTCTTTAGGGTTTCAATTTAGGGTTTCATTTAAGGTTTCTTTAGGGTTTCAATTTAGGGTTTCATTTAAGGTTTCTTTAGGGTTTCAATTCAGGGTTTCATTCAGGAGTTCATTTAAGCTTTCTTTAGGGCTTCATTCCAGGGCTTCTTATCATGATTTCTTTTCACGATTTCTAAACGTTCAAGTGGGTTCCTTTAGGATTCCTTTAGGGTTTCATTTAGGGTGTCGTTTAGGGTTTCATTTGGAGCAGGGTTTATTTAGGGCTTCATTTGGGGTGTCATTTAGGGTTTCTTTAGGGTTTCTTCAGGGTTTCATTCAGGGTTTCTTTAGGGTTTCATTTAGGGTTTCAATTTAGGGTTTCTTTAGGGTGTCAATTTAGGGTTTCAGCTAAGGTGTCAGTTAAGGGTTCATTTAGTTTTTTTTCAGAGTGTTGTTTAGGGTTTCTTTGGGATGTCATTAAGGGTGCCATTTAAAGCTTGTTTAGAGTTTCATTTACGGTTTCTTTAGGATTATGATTATATAATTATGGTTTCTTTAGGGTTCATTTATGGTTTCTTTAGGGCAATGTAGGGTTTCTTATCAGGATTTCTTTAGGGTTTCTTTGGGTTTCACCTAGGGTCTCTCTAGGGTTTCATTTAGGATACAAACAGAACAGAATAAAGCAAAAGAAAATGAAAAACAAAGAGACAATAAAGACAGGAAGCAAAGAAGCAAAGGAGCAGGAAGTGGAGCAGCAAAAACACATGACTGAAGAAAAGAAAAAGTAGAATAGTAGAAGTAGAAAGGCGCAGAAGTACAAAAGCAGAGAAGCAGGGAAAACAGAGAAGCAGAAAAGCAAAGAAGCAGGAAAAGCAAAAACCAGAAAAGCAGAGAAGCAGGAAAATCCGAGAAACAGGAAAGCATAGAACCAGGAACCCCAAAAAAGTCCAAAAACTGCCGAGAAAAAACAACAACAAAATAAACAGCCCCCCCATATGAAATGAATCTTGGATTTCAAATCGTTTGGGAAGTCAAATTTGACAAAATCCACACATTCCAGCGCACTTGAAATCTTCAGCCGAAGTTCAGGTGTAGCTCGGCGCAGCCACGCCGCCACTGTTGGTTGTATCCAGACAAAAGAGGAAGTTGGACTTCAGGTAGCACCGAACCCTGAGTATGCGCCGCAGACATTGCATCCAGAGTTGCCCCGACCGTGGCTTGCCTCAAGAATGTGAATTTCTTTCGAACAACTTCTGCGAAATCTTGCAAACACAGGATTCTGCGGGCTCGGGCACTGGAAGGTGATCAGCTTTGGGAATGAATGGAATCAGCGGTCGGTCAGTATGTCAGGATCAAATAGCAGCCCAACAAATCATGGAACAGAAACTCACCCGGTCATCAGGCTGCAGTCCAGTTTGTTGGACGCTTTCAGTGAGCATCAGTGAGCAAGATGTTGCAGCTGCCCGGACTTTGCGCCACTTGACCTGGCTGGAATGAATTTCATCTTCATCTCCTCTGAAGCTACGTCATTCATTCGCATAATAAATAGTTTGCACCAAGGCCATCTGGAGGCTGCGCATTTCCAACATCTGCTCGTACATGCGCTCTGCTGAGCTTCTGATAGTTCCTTCATGGCATGCTGTAGGGTTGGCTTGTCCAGCCAAGTGTCTGGCAAAGCACCTTGCTTGAACATATTTCTCCCAGATAATTGCCGGTATGGATACCAATGGCCCTCCAAAGCATTTGGTAAGGCATTTTGTTCCACCATGGACGAAAGCCAGAAAAGTACATTCCATAGCACGCAATACGCGTCCCAAATCATCACAAAGTTGCACTGCAAAATTCGCTAGGGATCCAACTAAAAAACTCAATGTCCTCGGCTCGAAGCACATCGAGACTCTGCGGCACATCGAAACGCACAAAGGTGTCACTCTTCGCAGAAGCCGCAACCTGCGACACTGTGATTTGTTCGAGACATAAAAGGTCCTTTGTTCTAAGCGAGAAACTCCAGGGCACCTTAACGAACATCCTTGAGAATACGTGGGAAAAGATGGTTCCTTGCCTTCAGTGAGCGACTATGAGAAAATCGAACTGTAGATCTTGACCTTTTCTTGCGGGTCTTGGAAATACAAGGTGTGCAAGGGCAAGGGGACGGGGCCCGAAAGAGAAAAGTGGATGACGAAGAGCAAGAGCTTTCACTCACAAAACCTCCGCTGAAAGGTTCCTTTCTTTTCAGTCTCAAAGCCCCTGTGAGCTGTAGCTTTGCTGTGCCACCGTTAAGCAAACATCACTAGCCTTTCAGTAGCCTTTTGCACATTATGGCTGGCAAATGTCAAGGCAGTGGAACAAATCCTGTTTGTCGATGATTGAAAGCTGTATTCTCAAGGAAAACTCTGCGCGTGACATCATTGCGCACCCCATTGCAGTCAGTTCCCTTCCAAACACTAAGGGGCGTGCAGCTGATTTGGCTTTGAGAGACAAGTTTCAGAACAAGGCTGCTGGCATACGAGAAATAAGGCATCATTTGGCTGGTCACCAACAGTGCGCAGTGCTTTTCTTCGAAGATTGCTGTCAGCTGAAATACGTCAACCAGGCCAAGAAGTGGAGCAGGTTCAAAGACAGTTGGCGGCCTTCTATCAAAAAAATCTCAAGAGCACCGGGGCTTCAATGCCAGCTCAAGGAACAAACAATATAGGGCTGCCAAATTCTCGCAGGTATTGTAGCAGCAATTGCCTTCCTCAGAAACATGCACCATCGACACCACTCGACACCAATCGACCCCAATTGACACCATCGTTCATCTTGCACTGCATATGGAAACGATGGTGTGGCCCCATGACAAGTCGCTTGCCAAGCTCCTAGGACTCCTAAGACTCCTAGGATGCCTAGGAATCCTAGACTTCAGAATCCACCACAAGGTCTGCTTCTGAGGCGGTGAACTGGAGCCGCCAGGGACGCAAAACAATGAAACACCCTGCTCCTTTGACGTGACTTCCCTGCCAAAGAGACTTCACCTGAATCTTGAAGAACTTCCTGGATTCCAAACATAGATTTACAGTTTTTTCTTGTTCAGCTTCACCTGTAAGGCCTGAAGCGAGCCTCACTATTGTTCATCCACAGATAGCCTGAGTCCGGTTGGATTCACTGAGATTGGGCAACCCCAGTGCACAATTGGGAGCGTCCACGTGCCAGGACAATGCTGGCCATCTTCGGCGGCACGTCATGTTCAAGCCGTCGGGTCACGAAAGTTCCAAGGCTGTGTCTGTGTAGTGTGAGAGCCTGAAGAGATGCCAACAACACGCTTAAACTCTTCAGTGAAGATCTGATGAAAAAGCTTTGCATTGGGTGTGCGGAGAATATTTCCGGGCATAGCTGTGACCCGACTCACGTAGGCATGGCAAGCATTGCTTCGTTTTTGACATACTGAAGCTCCTGGCCTGGATGAAATCTGACTCTAGGCAAGACCGACCATTTACTAACGCAGAACTAAGCTTTGAAGTTGCCTCAGCGCTGGGGGCACTGCAACAGGTCAAACACTGGCCCACAGAGCGGAATCGAAGCGAGGAAAAAGCAACGAGACCACACTTTCATTTGACAAGAGGGAACAAGAGTCTGAAAGCGGAGCTAGTATGACAACAGCATCACATTAACTCTAATTGGTAGATACAACCAGCCTTCAAAGGCTCCTTAGGCCGAAGTCTCAGTTGCATTTTGGCATTAGAAGTTTCTTGAGGCAGTCATGCAGTTGGACACGGCTGACTTCTTCCTGTCTGGCTCTGACTGCCTGCACGACACTCAAGGTTCAAAAACTCTAGTGGATCCTCTCCGCAAGACAGCTTGTTTTGAATGCATCCGCAGGCATCCAAACAGCACGGCATTGGGACCCCATGCCAAACCAATAGCCCCAACTTATATGTTGTGAGCCCCAAATTCCTTTGGTCAACCTATCAAACCTAGAAAGCTGCATGTCGAAGCCTGCAGCGCACGTCTGAAGGTTGCTGATGTTGGTTCAGTGCACTAACGCTTTGCTGGTTGGTCCTTGCAAGTCTTAAGGTATGGATCAAACCTCCGTTGCTCGAGCATTGGCCTCACCTGGATGGGTCAAGTAGACCCCTTTACCTTAAGCGTTGGCCTCAGCATGTCACTCTTGAAAGTGGCAAGCTTGTCTCTCCAGCGAAACCTGAACCGTTTTCCATGCGAGCTGCAAGATTGGCGGGAAGCTCACTGAGGATGGGGCCATGTACATTTTGGTTCGGTAGACTCACACATTCCCAGATGGCATTGAACTTGAAACGCACTGTGTCTTGTGCAAACACTTCTGACAGTACGACTACAGTGGAGAATGAACCAAGCCCAAAAGGCTTTCGCCGACACCCTCAAATCGCTGAAAAACTTCGACATGGTGCCACCGCGGACAGTGAGACGGGGAAGTCCTCACAAGTGCAGCCATGCGAGCTAGAACATGCGCACTTGGTTTAGTGGCTGCCAAGTTGCTTACATCACATGGCATATGTCGTTCAGAATCAGAATGTCAGCTCGGAACAAGGTCAGTTACGTCAGTTGTTTTGAGTCGTTAGCAGGGAGGTGTCTAGCTGTAGGTGCGGTGGCCCTTGCCCGACTGATGAATTCCGTCGACCCCGACAGAACGAGATAACATTCCCTCGGCGTCTCTCACCTCTCGGTACCGGCCGCACTAAGCGAAACCACTTGGTTTCACTTCCTGAAGCTCACCCGTGTCACCCCTCTAGAACAAGATCAGGAGCAAATACACCAAGCCTTCAAGCGAATGACTTCAAAGGCTCCGTAGGATCCCTTAGGCCCAAGTCTCAGGAGTCTCAGTTGCATTTTGGCATTAGAAGTTTCTTGAGGCAGTCATGCAGTTGGACACGACTGACTTCTTCCTGTCTGGCTCTGACTGCCTGCACGACACTCAAGGTTCAAAAACTCTAGTGGATCCTCTCCGCAAGACAGCTTGTTTCGAATGCATCCGCAGGCATCCAAACAGCACGGCATTGGGACCCCATGCCAAACCAATAGCCCCAACTTGTATGTTGTGAGCCCCAAATTCCTTTGGTCAACCTATCAAACCTAGAAAGCTGCATGTCGAAGCCTGCAGCGGACGTCTGAAGGTTCCTGATGTTGGTTCAGTGCACTAACGCTTTGCTGGTTGGTCCTTGCAAGTCTTAAGGTATGGATCAAACCTCCGTTGCTCGAGCATTGGCCTCACCTGTATGGGTCAAGTAGACCCCTTTACCTTAAGCGTTGGCCTCAGCATGTCACTCTTGAAAGTGGCGTGAAGCTTTGGGCCATGTCCGCCATGTCGTTCCACAATCTTTCTCGATATGACCAGTCTCCGCGCTAAGCTCACAAAGCAGCCAGCTTGCATCCACCTTGAAACTGGCTGCGTTGTGCAACCCGAAGACTTCTGAAAGAACGACTGCAGCGGAGCCTGAACCAGGCCCAAAAAGCCTTTGCCTTTGGCTCTCTCAAGTTTGTCTGTGAATACGACTCAGCGAGGACGGCGGCAAAGGAGATCCCTAACTGGCAAATTACGGACAGAGGTTCCCGAAGGCGGTACAACGGAGAGCATGACATCACTGCAAAGCATCATCTGTGAGCTGCAAAATAGTCTTGAACACTCGCTGGGCCCAGTGGGAAGACCAAGGCAACTTGAGAAAGTGAACTCGCTCTAAAAGATCGGTTGGCTCCATCTTGACTGCAATGTTTCGGAGAGTGCCTATTGAGTAAACTCATGATCGGATAATACACTGTGCACAAAGAGGCATGTGTGGTTTTGAGGATAGGATGGCAATTTGTCACACTATCATCGCAAAACATGGTGTGGCAAATCCTTTCGGTAGGGCTTCAGGGATGCGGCTTTGATTGGTACCCTGGACCACGCTGATCGCATGAGCTGTTCGCTTTGCTTGCTTCTTTGTCACGTTCAAGAGTGCAGTCTCAGGAGGTCTGTGTGCGCACAAATCTGTGCGCACAGTCGGGTCATGCGCATGCACTCAATGTACCCAACTCCCCTGACTGGAGTGCATGCGCGCATTCGGATCACACACTTGCAATTTCTGACACGCGAGATGGTGCGTCTAAGATAGAACCGAAGAATCATTCGAAGGCGCCTAAGCAAATATATTCTGAGGTCAGCATTCAATTGAGACAGAAAACTGTAGCATGCTCCAAAATGATAATCTTCTGCTATACCTTGCTAGCTCCAAGTAACCCTGGTAGGCCTTGCAACATGAGGTGTCCTTTGGCGCCTTTGGATGGCGACCAATGCAGAAACGTGGGTCGAAGCATGGTGGGCTTGCCCGGCATGAGGCATCTCCAATGAAAAAAACGTGGCTGGCGACCCTGAATTGGCAAAGCTTCATGAAGAGGGTAGGAAGTTCCGTAAGATGTAGGAACTGCTTTCAGTTGAAGCGGCGCTTCACTATGCTTCCAGATGCTTCCAGCCCCCTGACCTGAAAGCACATGAGGGGATGCCATTGCATGAGACATAGCATGAGAAACCCAGAAACCCGAGCTGACTGCACTAAGCTTCGGTCTGAGTCATCTTAATGAGTCACCTTCACAATTCCATGTGAAGCTTTCGGTCGACTTCGAGCAAGTCGACTTGGAGCACTCACAGTCACATGCAGGTTACATCTTCGAATATTCAATTTCTCGTAGGCTGGTCATTCCTTCGTCCCCCACAAACGATTCTGGGCAAAACAGAGCCTTGGTCCCCTGGCTGAATGCGGCAAATGGTTCTGGTGGTTCCTGTGATGTGCACTGCTGCTTTCGCTAGCTGCAGTTGGATGAAAGACGTTGCAACTTCGTGGCATTCTATGTAGGAACATTTTGTCTTCGGCCAATTCTATGTATTTTCTTCGTCATTCGGAGGACATAGCATCCTTGAAATGCAAAGTCTGACCAATAGCCTGACCAATCCAACCATGGTCCATTTACTTGAAGAATTCCAAAGCATACCTCAACCTTTGGCATGCTGGCTTTGAAGATGGATCGACATTTAGATCTTGCCCACACCACAGCAAAGCCGTGGCATCAGTGGTCGTCCGAGGCCCAGGATAAACCATCGTGCTAGACGTGGCATTTGCGAAGGGCCTTCTGTATGAAGTTGGCAAAGTTGGCAACATACCGTAAGATACCGTCATCATGTCACATGTTTCCTTGGCTGTTCCAAAAGGGAGCCTTTTTCCAGAGGAACTGGCACCCAAGCCCAGGGCATGTGCTTCTTGGGAATCAAAAGCAAAAAGACGGCAGCAAAGACACCACCGACACCACCTACCTCAAGCTCCAGGTGCATCGCACAGTACCATCAGCTTGGACTCCCTATCGCCTGACTCCAACATGCTCTCTAGAATCTAGAGCGCTGCATTGGCACATATTTGACAGCAAGACATGGACTGCCTGCTGCGCTCCCTTTCCATTAAGAGCTGGTCTGTGCCAAATGCGCTGCGCTTGGACCTTGCATGCTCAGCCTGTGCAATGGCACCGGCAGGGTCAAGGAGTGCCGAGAAGCAAGTGGTTCGTGGTTTTGAACAGCTACTGAGAACGAGCCAAGTAAGTCTCGAAAAGCAGAACTCGCGGCAAAACTGGCCGTGAGATGAGCGCCCTGCGAAAGGCCAAAACCCAGATGGACGATGTACCTGATGTACCTCTGAATGACTCGCAGGCACTGCAGGAGAGGCACAGGAGTGCCTTGGCTTCGAATCCAATTGGAATCGGCGCTGTGCACGGCACGCACTTGGACATCAGCTTACGATGACAGGAAGGCTGGCCATGCAGGACATGGCAGGACGTCTCTGCGCATTCCGGAGTTGTCACATGTGCGAAACTTGCCAGCGCACATTTTGCCCCTGGGCATACGTTTTCTCAGTGCTTTGAGATATACAAATCGACACTTGCCTCTTTTGATTGTTGGATTGCAAAACACTTCCGGCAACACTTTGCTTACTAAGACTTGTGCGAACACCATGCCCCCTCGCGCTATGACCCCACCAAGCTCACCCCAACTCGAAACGCTGGAGGGATGCCAGCCAATTCAAGCTCCCTGTGACAATGTCTCTGCAGCACAGGAGCGAACACGGCCACCAGAAGCAAGTCCAGTCAGTTGACACACGAAAATGCTCTGCAAAACTGCCGCATCTTGAAACCCGCACCCCTTATCTGTCTTAAGAGTTGAGGTTATTTAATTTACCATGCGCCACTAGGTAGTCGAAGTGGGACCACATCACTTTGTAGGCCTTAATTGTTGCATGAACCCATGGAACTTTGAGCGGCGGAAAGCAAGTTAGGCTCGCATTTCGGAGAGTGGCATGTCCTCCACCATCTTTAGACATTTGCAAGGCATATGAACGGCTGGTCTAGCTAGTGCTTCTTGAGCATCACCAATCTGCTCTTCCCTTCCTGCAACCCTAACATTGCTTCCTTGCAATAGCTCGGGTAGCTGTTTTGTAGCGCTGTCTGCCACATGCCCATACCATGTGTTGCACTGCACTGACAGTGTTGAAGGACAATTGCAGCAACCTTCTGTCACCAAGGATGTTCCCTCATGTTCACCAGCAGCGCACTACCGTCTCCGGTAGTGGGTGGCCAGCCTGGGCAGCAAAGGGCCTCTGCTTCGAAGCGGTGTTGCGGTAAATTCAATGTAAACAGTGTCAAGCAAAGAAAAGTCGCGGGACGTTCCGCTCATGCACAATCACCTCGTCAAGCTGCGACCTTGGACAACTTGGAGAACTTGGGCGTCTCAAATCACGCCATGTCATGTTAGTGTCATGTATATCCCCACAGGCCTCACCCGAAACTTACCCAAATTGAAGCGAAATATGGACGAAAAGCACTGGAACTTGTGATTTCCTGCTTTGCGACATCGCACACTAACCAAGCGGGGCTTGGTGCACCATCAATAGCGGATGACTTTGCAGATGGCAGCTAGTGGTCAATCTGCTTTGGAAACACTTTGGCACCAAAAGCACTGGCAAAACTGTCTGACAAGCTCCAAGTGCCATGAATTTCATTGAACTGCCGCTGCACAGCCGTTTCACTGTATGGCACACTGCCGGCCCTTTGGAGTTGTCCCAAGCGTTGCTCGAAGCTGAAAGCGTTTCGGTTGGCACTTCCGAAACCATACATGAAACCATGCGATTGCTGAAAAAGTAGCATGCCTCATGATCAACTCATTAAACGTGTGGCATAGCATCAGGACTGAACTTTTAAAGAATCTGTTGGCTAGAGCTTGGAGAGAAGGACCCCTTCGTTGCTCATAGCACTATGCAGGAAGCGGGCAAGCAAAATGCTCAGCAGGACGATATCTCAGGGTATGCACCTTGATTCGCACATAGCTCTTTACTTCAACATAGGCGATGCTGTTTATGGCATTTCGTGTCGTTTTACCTCTTCCGAGGTCGGCATGTTTCAGTCTCATAGCACCGCAGGTCTAGGGTTTTTCAGCTGGCCTCTTTGTTAACTGTGGACCGCTTGAAAGATCATAAAGAGGAAGATTGTCCAGCTATTTCGACATATTCTTGCGGCTGAAATGCGGTTGCCAGTGAAGTAAACATTGCGCAGGGCACCCCCATCGCTCTGAAAAAGAAACTTTTCAGGCGCAGCTGTAAGCTGGCCGATTGCCTCTCGCTTCAGAACTTCAGAATGACATGGAAATGAACACGTACTGCACCAAATTTGGCAACTTCATTCGGCAATTGTGGAATGAAAAGGAAAATAACCCGGAATGAGACTGAATGGCGTGACTGGGCTCAGTTTGGACCAACACCAAACCCACATGTCAGGCTACCCCTCGCAGATTCTGTGCTCTTGTTACAAGAAAATCAACTGCTAGGTCCACGACATGAGACCTGCCCAGTCCAGTTGACTTTATGGTGGATCCGTTACGCCAGAAATGTCTGGCAAAGACTCTTGAAGATGGAAGATTTGCTTGGCAATCATCGGCTGATATTCGTGTCCCATTGCAACGGGAGCCTCCCGGAAAGGGCTGGATTGCAATGGAGCATCGGCAGTTGCAATGCATGAAATTGTTTGCCAAAGGTCTCTTCCATACAGCGTGTGAAACCATTGGAAGTTGGAATCGCTGATCATGAGATTGATCAATGGCAATGGCGCTGGTGGCCCTGGTATTGTCGCAGGTCTTTCGAGCCCATAGAGTCAATGGAGCAGGCAATCATGCCACCCATTGCTGGCGTACATGTGATACCGGCAAGTTCACCTGCCGTGAACGTTGGAGGGATGCCAGCCAATTCAGGCTCACAGTGACAATGTCCCTGCGCAGGTGCAAGGGCGAGTACCTGCTAGTGGAGCTCCAATCTTGAATTGGCGTGAATGCGTGATCACCCTTATATATTATATACTACTAAATTTGCACTGCCAGAAGCTGGACGGACCGGTCATACCACTCTGTCTATTTAAGAGAGGCAGCGACAATGGATTGACATGGCGGCACACGGGCACACGGGCACACGAGCGAACAGTACCGCCCACAATTGCAGTCGGTTAAAGCACAAAGCTCTGCAAGGCTGACACATCTACAGCCCATAAGCAAAGCCGTTCTCTTTGGGGTTCATGCATACTCAAATCTCTCTAAAGCAAACCAAGCGGAACTCTGGCGATGCAAGCAATTTCCTCGACTTCCTGACGATCTGAGCGCTCACATCCCACGGTTTCGATGCACCCTGTTGGTAGGTTGGACCGATTGATCATCAGCTTGCTTCTCAAACTCTCCTGGATAGCGAAAAACTGGTGGATGGAAAAGAGCGTGACCTGCATCAAAAATGCGTGATACTCCCAACGCAACAGTCGAAGTGCGGATGGAAACATTGAGTCGACAGAGGCTCCAGCAATGAATGGTAAAGAAATGGAGGTTTCAAATGGTTTAAATTCGTGCAAAGGAACCATATCAAGTCGCTTCAAGTTGCTTCAATTTGGATGGCCTGGAAGATCTTGTCTGAGGCCCCCGTACGGCCAGTGCACTCCTGGGCACAGTTGTCACATGCAAGTTACACATGTTGAAGTCACACATGTACGTCGCATTTTCGTCATTTCATCAAAGTAATGCTAAGCAATGCCAAACAATGTCATAAAGTCATAAAGTTACTTCGTGCCGCCCGATGCTCAGACGGAGGGCCTGTCCTGTAGGACCAGTGAACTAATGCCAGCCATAGAGATAAATTTGGAGAAACTCTGGTCTGGAATTCAATTGTACTTCTCCGGACATAAAGTGTCTTTCATCAACACAATCCTGCAAATTCTGCAAATACTTGTCGAAACCGCAGGAACTTGAGACATTGAAGCTCAGACTTCGGGTGAATCCAAGTGGCAGAATCA